TTAAAATTGTTTATACTTGTGATGAAGAGAGAAGTCACTTCTTTATATATTTCTTTTCTTTACTATATTCTTGGGATACCTTAGAGTTCCATAGAACAGGGTTTGAAAAATCCTTGAGTAGAGTGTCCGTGCTGCACTTTAAGTGATTTTCCATTCCACCATAGAAGAAAATCAACAGACCTATAACATGTAACTTCCTAATATGAAGAGTAGTTGTGAATTTCCTAACATTTATAAGGGATTAAATTGAGTAATCATGCCCTCTGAACCATTATTTCACACACTGGCCTTTTGGAAGCTAGTACAGAGCTGCTCCCGAGGGCTTTTGGGAATGAATAGTCATCATCATGCCCATTGTAATATGGTGTATTTGTGTTTTATCTTGGTTTTAGTTTTTTAGAGTGTTTCATGTTTTTGTGATGTAAACCACTGGGTGTCATTTTCTCTACTTGGTGGTTTACAAATACAGTAAGCATACAAATACATTTCATTTGTTTACTTCATAAGTTAGTTACTTTTTTCTTCCTTTCCAGACCATGCGAAGACATAGAAATGAAGTGACAATTGAACTTAGAAAAGTGAGTATATAATAAAGTCTGCACTAGATGCATTTTCATGTAATGTTAAACCATTATTATATTAACTGTAGAAATGTCTCACAGATAGTATTGTTTTGTTTTTCCTAATCATGGGTTGTTTTCCCCTTAGCTAAAAGTTCACATTGCATTTAATATTGGCAGAGCCTTAGCAGATCATTTGAGGTTACTGGAGAAATAGGGCAAGGAAATTCCTTCATATTTTTTCTCCCAGTGGTGCTGAGAACACTGTAATTAAGACCCAAGGAAAATAAACTGTTTCTTGAGGAGTCACTATTGGTACATTTAACTGCAGCATTTCTTTATATGATTGTGTTGCTGCTTATCCTAATTCTGTTGTTTTCCCCCTTTCCATGAGCATTTTGCTTCCATGCCTTAGTGGTATCCATAAAGTTACTAAATGGGATCAATTCCCAAATTTTACAACAGCAGTCAGCGATTGTTCAGCCCACACATGGAGTTTCCTTTTTTCATCCTTTCTTTTTATACCATTGACATTTCTGCTAGGGAACTGTGAAAATTAGGTTCCTATGGCTTATTACTTTTCACTAACTGTTTTCAAAGCATTGATTCTGAAACATGTTGCTTCTCTGAAAACATTTATCATCTTCTGAAGTAATAATTAATAAAAAATAGCTGTGACATTTGAACTACTAACTTGACATGATGGCATAGATGAAGTGCAGATAGAAACATTTGATTAAACTTCTGCAAATAATTTAATGTCAAGAGTGGAAAAGAATGAGGAGTATATGAATAATCTGATGATCAATTGATAGCATTCAGTGAAATTTGTATGAACACAAAATAAATGAAGAAGGGAGCAGAACTATGAGAAAGCAACCATCTGTAAGTAGAAGGTGTAGCTAACAGAATCAGAAAAGCTTATGGCCTAGAATGGCTTTGCTTCCCAACGTATAACAACTTCTGAATGCATGTTCAGTAGCAGTGGAGACAATATGCTTGGTCACTTTCACTTGGACCTGTATTGTTCTCCAGATCCAACTTGGAAGCTTTGAGAAAACTTTGTGCCTGGACTTACAGATCTGAAGCTATATCTGTATCTTCCAACCCAGTAAAGCAATGCATGAATCTTACTTTGTACAATGCTCCTTTCTCTATGCCAGAGGTGCACAATCGTTTTCCTTTTAAACAGTTGGTAATTTTGGTGGAAGCACCGGGATGGAGGGGAGGGGCTCCTTTCCCTAGGTAAGTAGAGGGCAAGAAAAGGAGCTGAGGGAGAATGGGAAAATCAGACTCAGCAGATTTGCCAATTAGTCTCTACTAACAACCAATAAGAAGAAAAGGAACCATATATTAGTTGAGTAAAAGGTTAATGGGATAGGCTGAGAGCAGCTACAGTTGTGCTACTTATCTCCTTCATAACACCAGAATTGGAAGGATGAGAAGGAACATGCTCAAGGCAACTGCCATTGTGCTTCTTTATCTCCTTTGTGGCACTGAGATCAGATAGAGGAAGTAGAAGAAAGAGTGCAGAACTACTTTTTCTATGCATTGTTAAAATTTGAGATGGGAGAATTACACAAAATACTAGAGTAGCATTTGGTTTAATTATGTATATATACAGTCTTATGTTTCCACTTCAGCATTTTCAAGAGTTATTTTCTTGCCATTACCTACTACTACTTGGTTTCTGATTTCAAAGTGTACAAATCTGTACAAACTTACTTAGAACTAAACACTGTTGGACTCACAGATACTTATTTCTGAGTAGATGTGTTTAGACTTTTGTACAGACACAGTGAATAACACATGAAGTAGCCAAGTGCTGTTTTAAGTAGCAGCAGTTGCTTATATTCTGTATATTAAAAATATAAATGTGTTAAAATGTATTTAGAATTAAATAGATCAGAAGAATAAAACATTCCGAGTACAAACTGTTCAGACTCAAAACAGGTTGTTGTAACCTCACTAAAAACATTCTAATCCTAACTAGAAGGATTTTGATCAAGGTTGGAGCACTTCTGGTAAAGTTAGAAGAGTGCTGAAACCATTCTGGTGAAGCTTGAAACTGTCTGTTGGAACTAGGGGCTGTTCAGACCAAAAATAATTTGCATAACTCTACAATAAACGCATACTTAATTTAGAAATGCTCCTATTTGCACGTTGATTTAAATCTATTATAATCCTTCCATTACTGTTTATGAATGTCTAAAGAAGACCTTGTTTTAACTGAATTTTTATTATCAGCAAATGAAGATCCTTTATTAGCAAATCTGCTAATAAAGATAAACCTTTGGGTACTTTAGCTTGTCAGCAAGGGATAAAAAAGAGGAATAAATAAGAACTTTACTTCTGAACACTTTGCAGTAGAGTGAAAACTTTTACCTTCTGCCTTTAACTTGTCTCTTATAGTGACCCCCCCCCTAAAATCTGCCTTTTTATTTTGGTTTGTCCACATATGCTTTATGATCTGCAACTCATTTCATCCAATATATTGCTTGAATTAGTTTTGATTGCATTAATTTAGGACTTGATCATGGTTTTCTTTTCAATTATAGTTTTTAATTAATATGACACAATCTTCTGAGTTTTGCTCTCTCAAATCAGTGCTCCTAATTGAGTACTGAATTGTATTAAATTTAGAAACATCCCAGACTATCTACATTTTTCACCCCTGCTTATATGTGAGTACATGTAGGTAATATCTCAAGCATCTGCTAATATATGTTCTCCTCCACAATATTTGTCAAAAACTATGCTGCAAACTAGTGCTTGCTAAAGCAGCCATGAAGGCTTTGGAAAAGATATTCAGATGTAGGTATGTTCTATACTGTACCTAAAAAGATCAGAAAGTGAAAGCAGTGGTATTCCATGTGACACTATCGAAGCAAAAGTTGGACTTTGAAGAAGCAGGATAGGAAGAGTATTGACACTTTTGAACTTTTGTGTTGGAGAAGACACTTGAGAATATTGTGGATGGTCAAGAAAACCAACAAATGAATCATCGAACAAATCAACCCAGATTTCTCACTCAAGGCACAAATGACCAGGCTCAAATTATGGCTCAAATTATCCTACTTTAGACACATTATGCAAAGACCTAGCTTTCTGGAGAAGACTCTAATGTTGGGAAAGGTGGAAGGAAAGAGAAGAAGAGGACAACCAGCAGTAAGATGGATGGACTCATTTACAGTGGCAATGGGCACACCGTTGAAAGACCTGAAGGACCAAGTTATGGACAGATTGTCATGGAGAAAATCTTATCTATGTGGTTGCTAAGAATTGAAACCACCTTGATGGCACACAATCAATCAATCAGTCAATCCACAATATTAATTTATATATTTAACAGTATTTATGTGGGTAACTTTTTCAGTATATATAAATATATAATCCTTTGTATTTAAAAGATTTATCAGTTACAGAACTTTGCATGAGTAGTATTAATTCATGTAAAGCATATTTAAAATTTACTTTGAAGGATTAATAAACATTGAAAAGTATTGAATCTCACTATTTTCATTCTTTTCAGAACAAAAGAGATGAACATCTTTTGAAAAAAAGAAATGTGCCCCAAGAAGAAAGTTTAGAAGATTCAGATGTTGATGCTGACTTCAAAGCAGTAAGTTACTTAATTAATGGAAACATTGCTTTTAATAACCCTTCCCTCTGCTCTTTCAAACTGGTCTTGATGAATTTCCTATTGATTGTTATACAATTATATTAATGTATTAATTCCTATTTTATTAGAGAACCATAATGTAGCATTATTAAAATGAATCACTGCCTCCTTTCCATTTGTCCAATGTTTCAGTGCTTCATAACATTGTTTAATCAGGGACCTAGTATGCTACATTGAGATGCATTAATATTAATTAAGCAAGGCTTTATGAATTTGAGCTGTCATTCAAGTTAGGCCAAGCTTTGTCTGAGTATGAGCATCTGGAGTTCCTGGTGGAAGCACCAATAGATGTTATACACTAGTTTTATTTCTAGAGCTTGTATCAAATATTACTCCACCCCCAGATTTTATCCCCATATAATATTTGAGATAAATTCTGGTTATGATAGAATTTTAAAACTGGGTCAACAAGCTCTTCTGTTTTGTAGAACAAATTAATAGAAGTTTAAAATAAGTCCCATTATTATTGGTGCTAGTATATAAATACAGAGAGTGTGCCAAAACATTGCCTCATTAAAACATGTTTCTCAGGAACTGTTTACAGTGCTCTCTGGTAGATTCTTGGACAGCATACTTTGACTATTTTTTCCCAATATCATACCATTGTTTAGCATACTGATACCGGCCAAACACGAGTAATGTTCTCTTCAATCCAATTTCTCTCACTGAGAGAAGGATCATGTCATCTGCCTAGAATAAAACAGAAACTTTTTTGACCTAAGGGAAAGAGGGAAAAATATGTGGAAGACAAACAAGAAACCACATTGGTAATATATTCTTTCTCTTTTTTTCCTGTATACATTAAATATTGAGTTTATCTTCCCTATTTTGCTAATTTAGATTGAAATAGATTGACGAGGTGCCTGCCAGACGTATTGGACAGTCTTCTGAATTCTAACCATTGGCCAGGCCAGACAAAACTTATAGTGGTTGTCATTCAGAATGATCAGCAAAGCCCCAACTTGTATGTCTCTGGATCTCGATTATATTGCCGTTTAATCCTGACATTGTATTGAAGTTCATATTTCTATTTATGTTTCTTTCATTTTTGGGATGCTTAATAAGGAAAATGGTGAACATTCATTTTGGGATCTTGAGATAACATTATTACTTTTAAAATTCATGGGATGATTCTTATTTTGCTCAGAATAGTGGATTTCTACTGAAAATTGGAACTAAACAATTTCTTTCTCTTTTTTTTAAGCAAAATGTTACACTAGAAACTATATTACAGGTACGTTGATAACAGTTAGTATTATTTTCAGTTGATTTGTTTAATACTTGATTTAATTTTTTGAAATCTGTTTGTTGCTGTAGAATGCTACTAGTGATAATCCTATTATCCAGCTAAGTGCTGTTCAAGCTGCAAGGTAGGCGTCTATTCTATTTGAAAGACTAAAGCATTATTAATGTTTTCCTCACATTGTGGTTTTTTTTTTAATTTTATTGATTAGTTTTGTTTTAATTTTACAGAAAACTATTATCAAGTGATAGAAATCCTCCTATTGATGACTTAATAAAATCTGGAATTTTACCAATATTGGTTAAATGTCTAGAAAGGGATGACAAGTAAGTAGTGCTTTCTTTTTCTAAGCGTTTATATCAGTGTTTCTCAACCTTGGCAACTTTAAGACATGTGGACTTCAGCTTCCAGAATTTCCCAGCCAGCATGCTGGCTGGGGAATTCTGGGAGTTGAAGTCCACATGTCAAAATTGTCAAGGTTGAGAAACACTGGTTTACATTATAAATTGAATACTATGTTTTTCTTGAAGGGCTGTAGTTAACAAGCCTAAAACATTTCTGTTACTAATGTATTTTTTATTTTGTTTGCCCTTCAGTACGTTTCAGACATTGTAATAATAATATTTCACTGTTTTAAACACATCTTAACATTAACAAACTTACAGATAGTGATGGCTGGTTTGTTTTTTTGGGGGGGGGTTACATTACAAAGTTCTAGAAAATATGTGCAAACTGTCTTTCAGGACAGGCACAGTCCACATATAGTTGTCAATATCAGTATTCCTTTCTCTGTGGATTCTTTTTATTCTTGATCAGAGGTCAGTTTCTGTTTCACAAAATAGAGCTGTTTTCTAATTCCAGTAGGTGAAAGTGCTTGTCATTTTGGCAGAAAGCCATTTCCTTTGTGAAAATCTCTTGTATTTCTGCCTTTGGCTTTTCGTCTTTGATTCATGTCCTTGGAATAATGTTTCTTTCTCCTCAATATAGTCCCCAGTCAGGAACTAGATGTCTGTGTGGTAGGCTGCTTGACATTGTCACAGGGTTGGTTTTGGCATTCTCTACACCTTTCATTCTTGGAGAATTCAACTTACCTTCCTTGGAGAAGGGAGAGGCAGGTTGTGAATTCATGGCCACCATGACAGCTATGGGCCCAGGTGATCATGGCCTAACATATATAATAACAGAGAATGCCCACTTCCTGGGTCCCATCATATGGCCCTGTTTGATTTATGGGACCTGGGGCAAGCTTACTGTGCTGGATTGTATAGGATGGACAGAAACTGTGGAAGACAGTCCCTCAAATAACTAGCCCCTATGCTGTGAAAGGCTTTATAGGTGATGACCAGTACCTTGCACCTGGAAGCCTACTGATAACCAGTGCAGTTCATGAAGCAGAAGTTTTAGGTGGACATACTGTGGCATGCCCATAACTGCCAATGCTGCTACTTTCTGGACCAGTTGTCTTAAAGGACAGCACCTTGCAGGACATTTAAGGCAGGTACCACTGCTTCTCTCAAAGCAGGCACTACTGCATGGACCTAGTTTTGCATCACCCCTTCTCTTCCCCCCGAGTGGCCTTCACCAGCCAGAATGGACATGGATCTAATATGTATGTAGCCAGGTTAATTAGGTTAATGAATGTGACCAAACATGGATAAGAAATTCAAGTCTATACCATGGCAATAAAGTAGCAAAGCAAGCAAGCTTCTCACTTTTATTGCATCTGTAAATAGCCATCCAGCAAGATTGTTTAAAGTGACTTCATCTCTATTAGAAATAAGGTGAAACAGGCTTAGACTTAATTCTACTAAGACCAAATGGCTGTGGATTTGGAAGCTGACTGAATCCAGAGATCTATGACTGTGGACAGAGTAACACTACCCAAATGGAGCTGGTCTGCAATTTGAAAGTCCTCCTGGACTTACAGTTCCTGCTTAAATAGCAGGTGAAGATGGAAGGGCTTATGCACAATTACATCTTGTCAGCCATTTGTGGCCTTTCCTAGATCAGGAGGCCTTACTCACAGTCAAGTCACACATGCTCTTGTCATCTTATCAGCAGATTATTGCAGTGTGCTGTACATGGGGCTACCTTGAAGACTATCTAGAATCTTCATCTGGTGCAACATTCTAAGTAGTTATGGTGCACTAAGGTTTCCCCATGTACCATCACTACTGTGGGAGCTGCATTGGTTGCCACCTTTTGAGTGCAACTCAAGGTACTAGTCATCGCCTTTAAAATCCTACATGGCTCAGGATCTGGATATATCCATGACTGACTTTTCCAAATTGAATTTGCCTATCCAGTAAGATCTGTGAGGCTGGACTTACTAAAGGTCTCACCACCAAGGGTATACCATCTTCAGGGTTAGGGTTATGTAATGCCTATAGTGTAACTGTATCTAGAATATTGTTTACAGTTCTTGCCACTACATCTCCAAAAGTATATTATAGGGCAGGAAAGGTATCAGAAGAGAACAACCAACAGGTTTGAAGGGATTGGGGCACCTTCACTGTAAGATTATGTTATTACATTTGAGATTATGCAGTTAGCTGATAGTTAAGATAAGGAATTTGCTATCACAATTTGTAGTGATGGGTACCTACTTGGGTCACTTTAAACAGAGCTTTAGGCTAGTAGGATGGTTTGTAATAAGCCTCTCAACATGGTTGCTAGGGATAATGACAGGATAATGATAGCAAATGCTATTTGCAGTGAAGAATGTAAAAAAACTACTGTACTAGGTACATAGTACTTCTGATTTAGAGCATTAACTTCCAAAAAACTACTGAAGCATCTCTGGAATAGCAAGATTGGCATGATCCAGAGGAGAAATGTTCAGAGTTCTCCAAAATGTTCTATTTCTGGAACAGTGCTTTTGAACTTACCTAATTCCTTGCTTGTAAAGTTCTGATTGGCTTTTGGTAGACTACTATAAAAGAAGAGTATGTTGGACCAGATCACCCTTTGATCCGATGTAGCATGGTTCTTGTTATATTCTTACATGTAAGCCATGGTGATTAACTTGAAAAAGAGCTTCAGCATTGTTCCCTTGACTTCACCTGTATGAAATGAAACAGGGTTGGCCAGCTTGAGGTCTGAGAACTGCATGAAACCAACAAGCACTTTTTTTGTGGTCTGGGAGTCTCCTTAGACCATAACAGCACAAACTGGCAACAAGGTTACCCTCATTTTGAAATGCATGAAAACTGTAGGGCAAGCAGAGTACGCTTAATATAGCTTCAAAAACAACACCTCCAAAAAAGGGGGTGAAAATTGAGGAGAAACAATAGAAAATCCTAGCCCTTCCATTATTGCCCTGCCCAATATGACTCTCACTTTCTTAAAAAGTATTAAGCACAATGGATGGCTTTCAAAGTTACCCGCCCCCAGGACAGAGGGTTATTTGAAATGTAAACCTTTCTGTTAATCCACTGGAATGGGTTACAAAAGCTACCTTTAGAGAGGATAGGATGAACTTCTTTGGTATGAACAACAAAAGTCACCCTTGTGACAAATGGACTACAACAAGTGTGCAAAATGGTCTGTGTACTTCACATCAGTGCATAGCTGTGCTAAAGGCCATGGGAATTTTTTGAGCCATACTCAATAACTGCATTGTTCAGATTGCATCCAACAATGCTGTAACAGTTTTCAGTATGTTAGGAAAATCTGGGGAGGAAAAAGACAGCTGTCAAACAAACATTCATGTCAGAGATTTTATATGCATTGATGTTCTGCCAAAAGCCAAAATACACATTTGTTCAGCAATAGATATCTCATAATTTCCAAAATTATCATTAAAAATAGGTCTACTTTTTAGGGATATTGTAATAGCACACATCAGGAATAGAAATAGTAAAATTTAATTATAGAGCAGTGAATTAATGTTTTCATAGGCTTTTAATAACTACGTACCTCCTCTTTGTTGTATTTTGTAGATATTATTGCTACTATATTTTATTTTTGTCTTTTTTTAAACAGTCCTTCCTTACAGTTTGAAGCTGCTTGGGCCTTGACTAACATAGCATCAGGCACTTCTTTACAGACTCAAGCTGTTGTACAGTCTAGTAAGTGTTTTAAATATTTTAACATTGGAATGTAGTGCTTTTTGCAGTATAATAAACATATATAATTTCCTTTTCATGTGGCATACATGGCACATATATAATCTATATACACATAGGTTATCTGGGAGGAGTTTATTGGTTCTGATGGAAAAAGTCCTTGGAGTTGTGGGCTGAACCATCTATGTTTCTGATCCATATCCTTCCTGGTTAGTTAAGGCCTCCTGGGAGGTGACATGTGGTGGGGTCCATGCAGTCATTAATACCTCTTTGGGGAAGGGAGTGTTGCTGCCTGTTTTAAATAATTTCAGACCTGACTATCTTAAAGACACCCATCATATATAAAAACTTGCCCATATCTTTATATCTTAACTATTGCATGTCTTTATCTTTGCTCCCATAATGTCTAGATTTGGGAAAGTGAATCCTACTTCCAACCACAGTAATAGTCACAATGATGATTAGATAGCCTCCTTATTTGAGGCCATTCCTATGGATTAAGGCATGTCTCAGATGCTAAAGTAGAAATCGATGCCTTGCAGAAATGTTGATTATGAATGATTTGCCTGATATTCCTCCAACAGAGGAAATGGAAATATAAATATTAATTTCCATCCAACCTTGAAATTAGCTCCTGGGTTAGGTAAAACTGGAATATTTGAAATATGCTATTCCCATCATCTGAACCTAAGTGACAGAAAATGAAAGAGGGTATAGTCAGTCAGAAACAGTATCCTATTATTTAAGTACTTTTTTTAATCCTTGAAATTATTTTTCCAGGCACTTAGCATTTCTACTTCCAAAGTTACTGTTCTAGGAAGATTGTAAATGTTTATATTGTCTTTCAGTCCATTTCATATGTTATAAAACATCTCCAGGAGAGGATGTTATGAAATATCTTCTGTAAATAAGTTGTTTTTGCAAAACATAATCTCTTGTGCTGTAAAGCTAATAGATATTTCTGGATGGTGAATGTAGCATATATCTTACTTTAAAAAGTCACTTCTTTTCCACCTGAAATAGCACAGTCTAATTCTCAGTTAACATTAGATGAATTTCCTAAAATTTCAACTATTACTTTTGTATTATTTTTGTTCTGTTAAATAATGAAATGCAATACATGTCTTGAAGGTCACATGTCACTGAAGGTCATATGTCACCGAAGTGAATCCATTGTCCCTCTGTTACAGATGCAGTACCTCTCTTCTTAAGATTGCTCCATTCACCACATCAAAATGTTTGTGAACAAGCTGTTTGGGCCCTTGGGAATATTATTGGTAAATATCAACGGTATTTTTGAAAACAAATAGAGTGGCAATGAAGGCTCTAAACTCTAATCTGATACATTGGCATTACCTGATGAGACTATGTTTCTCCAAGTTTTTTTAGTACTGCAACATATTTAAAGAAGAAAACTTGTTTTTGGAGAATTTAGCTTAATTTGTTATAAATAAGTGACAAATTGTGCAATTAAATTTTCGCTGAGCAGTTTCTAATGGGGAAACATAGAATCTTTGTCACAGAACATCAGTGCCCATACATGTCACTGCATACATTTCAAGGTTTTTCCATTATGAATGTAATTTTTTTTTAAATTTTCACTTCTGTAGGTGATGGTCCTCAGTGTAGAGATTATGTCATATCACTGGGAGTTGTCAAACCTCTTCTATCCTTCATCAACCCCTCCATTCCCATCACTTTTCTCCGGAACGTCACATGGGTCATTGTAAATCTCTGCAGGAATAAGGATCCCCCACCACCTATGGAGACAGTTCAGGAGGTAAATAAAGAACTACAACTATGTACTTTTGCAGCTCAGCTGCGTTACAAGGCAGCTTTCCCATAATGTATAGTATGTTGTCTTAAGGCCTATTCATCTGTGCCTCGTTTCAATAACTAATTACTCATTAGGTTTGTTTTCTGTCTTATTTAACTATGAATTCCAAGTCTAATTTTGTTAGTGATGGTAATATTGACTGTTGAGGCATTCAGGGAGATTTCTCAAATGTTGAAGTTACTTGAGGAAATTTTCTAGCTTTGAATCCAAATCTGTCTTGACCTAGGCTAGTAGTGTGCAATCTATGCCTCTAAAAATTGAATCCACTGCTATGTAGTTTATACATTACTTGAGAAATATTTATAACTGCAGTAAGTAAAATAACGTGACTAGCTCTTTGACTTTTTGAGAGTATACTATGTACTACACATATATTGTATTTTTGCTTTCCAAATATTGACCTTTTGTAATCCTTTTTTCTCATTAGATTTTACCAGCCTTGTGTGTTCTGATATACCATACAGATATAAATGTAAGTAAATGCTGAAGGAATATTCTTTCTCCTGGAGATTCCTCTTTATTAAGTGAATATTACTTACATTTTGCCTAAACTGCATTACAAAAATTCATTTGCCAAACATGTTTACTTTTTCATAAACATTGCAGCCTGTGGACACTTACCCTGGAAATCAGTTGCATTGTGCTTAGTGAGAGTTATTTCAGAGTAGGGATGCGTGTGATTCTATTTATGTGTTAATTTTTTATTGCTGGTGATCTATAAGTGGTTCTTACATGATAGAAGCTATGATGCAGTCAAATGCCTTGTGTATAAAATAGCATGCTGTGCTACTTCCTGCTGTGGGTGTTGCTGTTTTGTGTTGCATTTGCTTGGCTCATTCAGTACTTACATGTCAGAAATTCATCTTGTGCTCACATGTCTGGATTACTGAGTTGTTGGCACACTTTGGTTTCGTGCTAAAGTAAGGACCAAAATAACAATATTCAGGAGAAATACATTTGCAATGGAGTGGGCTAAACATTTTCCCCTTGCTTGCATTTCTCTTAAATGTTAGTAATATTGCCATCACTTTAAATTTTTGAGGTAGGATTTTTTAATATTCCTTGATGAATAGAATTAAAGGCAAAGGAAATCATAGAAAGCAATATAGAGAATACATATTAAATGCTCTTCCGTAATCTGCAATAAATTTAAAGCTCTTGTGCACAGGGAATCTGATTCAGAAGTTCATTGCCATCTTATATTAACATACAACCTGTCCTCCTTGTGCAGATTCTTGTGGACACTGTTTGGGCTTTGTCCTATCTCACAGATGGTGGGAATGAGCAAATACAGATGGTGATAGATTCAGGGGTAGTACCTTTTTTGGTCCCCTTGCTGAGCCACCAGGAAGTAAAAGTTCAGGTAAGCATTGTATATTGTATGATGTGATATGGCATTATAAAAAAATTATAATGATGTTGCATTATAAAATTATCACTGACAAAGGTTCAGACATCTTAGTTGGGTACTGAAAAATAATTTGTATGTTAAATCCACTTATTTAAAGGCAAATAAATATTTTAAGTAAATGTTGAAGAGTGTTTTGAATTAACTTCCTCAATAAACATACATATGCTCTTGACTCAGGCTCAACTCCTGGTGCCTATTGGACACATCCATGCAGTTTTTCATGGCAATAATCTGACAGTATTGCCACTGCCTTCTTTTGGGCTAGTTTTTTACTCCCTAGCAATTGCTGTTGCTCTGGGATGACCTGGTGGTTTCTCATCCCACCGCTAATCAGGCCTAACCCTGTTTAGTTTCTGAACCCAAACAAGATCAGCCAGGTGCTGGGAGACTACTTACTTAATGCTGATTTACATCTACTTTTTTTTAACTTATAGGGCAGCATATATTTATTAAAGTTATACTCCATCTTTTAGACAAATAAATTCTTTAAGGCATCTAAATCAAAGCTTTGGTTTTCTTCTGATTGCACATTACATATATTATGAACTTTGTTGGTACAAAACTGAGTGGTTATAATGTTGTTCCAAATGGAAGAAGGGGAATATACAAAGTTATGTCCATAAAGCTTGTTAACAAATGACTACAGCCACTCCTCATTTAGCAACTACCTCATTTAGCAACCATTCGCACATACAGCAGTAATAAATGGTAATAAAAAAATTCATTTTCTGACCAATGCATGTATTTACAACCAAATTTCATGCACCTGACAACAATGTATGCGGGAGTGACAGTAATATTGCCATATCATCATAATATTTATTTCGGTCATTGACCAATAAAAATACATAAAAAAATAAAATAAAATAAAATAAAAAAAAATAAAACTTACAACAATATTACCCTTTTCATCAGTAATAATACTGCCATAGCTGTGTGAGAAAACTTCTATCAGAATGAGATGACAGCAACCAGTGATCTTCCCAGCGTCTCTCTCTCTCAGTCACATGTTCACTTAGTGGCCATTTCATTTAATAACCTGGTCATTGGAACAGAACTCAGTCACTAAACGAGGAGTGGGTGTAGTTAATAAGAACAAATAATACTATTTTCCTACTTTTCCATGTTGTTTACTCTGGGATTCAAAAAGTTGTTTGTTTTTTTAGAAGAGGAAGAAGTAGTAGTAGTAGTTTCATAAACTCTGTCTCTCCAGTGTTTCTGTAATTCCCATCAGTTTAAAAAATGTTTCAGATTCTTGTTGTGTAAAATGGTTAAGGGTCTCTTGGTTTGATCAAGAATGCAGAAATGGCAGGAGAGAGCTTCCCAGATCTATAAGAAGCACAAAAGTTGCCAATTCTGAACAGAAGAAGTGTGTGCTTACAATAAGACTGACAGTATTATTTTTATACTAAGGCAAAAAAGAGCCACCTAGGTACCGCGATGTTTGTAGAATATACAAAATAACTGAAAGACTGCACCCATAAGGATTTGTTGGTTTATTGCAGATTTTTTTCAAATAAAAATTTTAATGTTATTAATTAGCTAAGGTTTTAGTAAGGTTTCTGAAATTATATATATGTATGTATGTATATGCACACACATAGACATACATACATACAGTGGGGCAAAAAAGTATTTAGTCAGCCACCAATTGTGCAAGTTCTCCCACTTAAAAAGATGAGAGAGCCCTGTAA